GTATGGCTGGTCTCGATAGCTGCGCTAATACTACTACTCAACGCATGACAACGAAAGTAGAGGACCTGGGGAGCTTGACGCACTCTCTTCTCCGCTAAAGACGACCGAATAGCAAAGATCCCAGAGCCACATACCCGTCTTAATCGTTTCGAACTAGACGCTCAACTCAACTATTCACTGCGTCCTAATTCTGCAGTATAATGGGGGTTCGGAGAGGGGCAAGCCCCCAAACCTCCTGAGGTGCCTTTCTTGGATGGCATGAGGTGTCTAAAGATGTCGTCCTAGCAAGTACAAACTGTTTCACTCGAAAAGACATCGGCGCATTTAGCTCTTCAAAGTTTTTTCAGGCAGTTGTGTTCAAAAACCCACAGAATCTGCAAGGTTTCCAAAGGCACAGTCCGGAATGACAAGCTGAGGTGTCCAAACGGGTTCACGTTCAAAAACATAAAAACACCTAACTAGTAGCTGCAATTTCTAGGATTATGTTCTTTATACAGAAAAATTTAGATAGTTAATTGTTTTTTACGCTGTCAAAGTGACCCGCCACCCACGATCCTGAGGTTGGAAACAATAAAATTTCAAAAAGAGCAATACTGATACAGTTATTTTCATGAACTCGCCTCCCGTTTTTCGCTTTCCCTAGGTGGTGATAGACGTGTCTAGAGCGCAATTTATTGGCTAGAATCGCCCAAAATTCGTAAAAAAACAAATTTCTCACCGGGATCTGTGCGTGCTGCAGTGAGGGTGTCAATATCCAGGGGGTCGGGCTCCTTGCGCTCCGGTCTATTTTCCCAGAGACTTCGCATGCTTGTCAGAGTTAACACGTCTGTGTGGAAAAGTCGCCAAGCAAGAGATTCCTCCATGCTTTGTGAGGCTAACTTCTCTAGTTTGACGCGGTCCCAGAGAGGCAGATTTGAGGATTTTGGCTTGACTTGCTTTTCTGTGTCATCTTGGGAATTTGTATTCTCGGGGTCCTCCATGTCCGGCGAAACATCTTCATCATCAATATCTGGTGTCCCAAATAACTGACTGTGAAAAAAAACAGAGATCAACTGATAAGATCGCATATGTCGTAGAAGCATTTGTTGGTAATGAAGAGTTAAGCTATCAGAATAAAAGCTGGGGCGTGAATTTCAAAATTTTCATCAAATGCGTGACTTGCAAGAAAAACGTCAGAAGGTGAAAGATGTTAAAGTCAGCTTGAATACAAGCAAAGCAATGCAAGTGTTTATAACATGCTTCGAGTTTTGAGAAAACGATTAGAAGTGCCTCACTTATAGTAATTCGTAAGATATTCCAAATTAATTCTGGTGTTAATATCACAAGGAAGATAATAAAGGTCATTTTCGAGGGTTCGTCTGTTTGACTAACGTTAAGATTTCAGTTTTCTCTTGAATGTAAAAGGAATTACAAAATTATACACTTTTCTAAGGTACTCGCGAAAGAAATAAGCAAAACAAAACTAGATTTGTCGCTGAGCAGTCCACGGTCATATGCGAGTAAATAGTCGCAATGGAAACAGGAATAGTAAGAAAGCCCAAGAATTAAAGCCAATTTAAATACACTCATTGATAGTTAGTAAATTAGACACTCACTTAAAAAGAAACTTTGCCCAAACAACACAGTGAATAGGTTCAGATGGCGTGTTTCTTATGGTACAGGTTGGGTAAGACCTCCGATCGTTTTCGACTGGCTGACATTCAAAGCAGGAAGCTCGGCCTTTTGATGCATTACAGCAATCCCCGTTTTCATGTTTAGCTCCTTTGAACAATAGAGGTTCAACTTGACCGAGGTAGCCGGACGTGCCGGATTCAATTATGGCTTTTCCGATGTTAACGCACATCCTGTTAACGTGACGCCTTGCAGCTGTGAAATTTAAAAAGTGCAATCAAAAAAATATTACCTTGATTGTCGAGTGCATTGAAGACAATGTCGAATTCCTCGAAGAATTCGGGACTGAATTGCGAACTGAAAATGCTCGCATGATAGGTCTTCAGGTCGACATCATCTCTAAAACCCCTGATACTTTTGGCGGCAACCTTTCAAATAAATATAACACATGATTCACTAACCTCCGCTTTAGACTTTCCTACGTGTTCCTTTCTAAAAAGGAACTGGCGATTCAAATTACTAACATCAATCGTATCCAAATCAACCTAAACAAATATATGTATAAGGCAAAACGCACTATAGATATTCTTTTAAATCCACTGTACACCAGATTTTTCAGAAGTTCACAACCAATGCCACCGGCACCAACAACGAGGACGTTGAACCCGTCGCCGTTCATAGCCATACACCGTCTGCGAGTAAAGCCTGTACGAAATGATTCGATTTCCTGCAAACGTTATAGGTCAGTAAAATAATAATGATTGAGATTTGGTATGATTTACTTACTTAGTTACTTGATAATTGCACTTTTTTATAGTTACTTTTGTAAAGGCAAACCAATAAACCTGGATTTTTGATTTTTATATTCCCTACT